GGGGGGGGGGGGGGGGGGGGGGGGGGTTTCAACTTTCAGTTCAACATAAAAATAAAAAATAAAAAATATATGTTGTGTGCACCTGGTGCATATGCGGCCCCGCAGCGCACACCCCCCAGCTCACCCGCGCTCGCCGCACCAGCCCTGTGCGCAACGCATTGCGCATCGCGCACAACGCACCTAGGTGCGCGGCGCAGCGCACAGGGTCGATGCGCGACAAGTATGATCTCAACTCTTGCTGGACAAATTTGCACTTGTCGTGGTTGGCTTTGTACTTGGCGCGGCAGAGCGTCTCCAATACTCATCGAAGGTGCTCAAGATGATCCTCCAATGTCCGGCTGTAGACGAGAATGTCGTCTAAGTAGACCAGCACGAACCTGTCCAACATCGCAAGAAACTCGTTGGTCATTGTCGCTTGAAAGGTCGTCGGGGCATTGTTGAGGCCAAAAGGCATGACCACCCACTCAAAATGTCTGTGCCGTGTCTTGAACGCGGATTTATAGCGATGATCATTCGGCGGATTGAAATCTGATGGTATCCTGATTTCATATCCAACTTAGAAAAGTACTTTGCACCGCCCAATCGCTCAAGGAGATCGTCAATACGAGAAAGAGGCCCCACAATCTTGACAGTTTGCGCGTTGAGCTTCCATGCACAATCGTAGATCCTTGTTCTTCTTTCGTACAAAGAGAACTAGCATTCCATATGGGGAGCTACTAGGTCGGATGCAGCCCTTGTCCAACAAGTCATCGAGTTGCACGCAGAGGACTGTAAGCTCCTCCTCGCTCATGCGGTAAATGCAACCTTTCGGCGGCACAACACCGGCATCTCGTGAGAGATCGGCCGATCCGGCACCACACCGGTAGATGACTCGAAGATGTCGGCGAACTCCTCAAGCAACCACGTGGGTGAAGAGTCGGCTACCGCGACGATCCGTAGAAAACATAGGCCTATCTCGTCGGGCTGCTCGTAAGTGCAAGTAGCTCGGAATGACTTGGTCGTCACCACTTGGCACCGGATCGAAGGGTGCGGAAGAGGAATAGTACACGACACTTCAGCACCGAAGGCATCCCGAACGGTAAGAGTCCGTCGGTGGAAGTTGACCGTGTGATCTGCACTTGCAAGCCAAGGCATTCCCAAAATGATATCGAAGTCTGTGTCCAAAATGTCGAACGTCACCAGTTCGCATGCACGAGGTGCGAAATACACCGGTACGACCTCGATGTAACGGTCGATAAGTTGTTGTGTCCTTCCATCCGCCAACTTGATCACCGTCGGGCTTGCCTTCCTCCGAACTTGTGCGCCAAGGCCAGCCTTTTGCATAAAGGCTTAGCTCATGAAATTGCGAGACGCGCCGCTGTCCAGCAGAGCGCTGCAAGACGCTTGCCCAACTTGGATGCGGACATAGAGGAGCGGTGCGTTATTGTCATCGTACCGGTGCTTGCAAAACTCGCAGGCCACCTTGGTAACATACGCAAGAATGTCCCCCAGCGCAGCTTCGTCATCCATCGGCGAAGTTGGTGGGGCATAGAAGGATACATACGTATGAAGATGAGCGCATGATACTACGCATTGCGGTCCCGGCAAGTGGCCCGTGGTCGGGAGAGGAAGCCATGCGAAATCCTTCGATGTGAGCGGGTTCAAGACCTCTATGTTGAACTCGCGCGCCGAATCCCGTGAAGAACCACTTGAAGACGATAAGTCATCGCTGTCGGACGGAGAAGATGCCGCACATACGTCTTGTCCTTGAACATGAGCACCCAGCGTAGGAATGAGCCGGGCAGCATAGTCCTCATAAGAATATAGAAGCGGAGGACTATCGACTTCCACATGTGCCTCGGAACGAAGGGCGGTCACTCGCGAAGCGACCGGTTCCAAAGGCGTCGAGAGTCATCGAGTCACTCCCGGTGATGCTCAGTTTACCGATTTGCCTTTGCCTTTCAACGGGCAGCCCACTGTATCGTGGAGATCGTTGTTACACCACAGACAATAGCAGTATCTCATGCGTTGCTTGTATGCTTGCTCCGAGAGGCCGTAGTGGGTCCATGGGGCTGTAGCTGTTGCACCGGGCCTGGGGATCAATGTGGTGTTTGTCTTTGGCTTGCCGCGTCCTCGGCCTCTGCCGGGGCGGCCACCATCCCGGACGGCTGCGAATCTGTCCCCTTCATTAGCAGATACGACCTCATTATTGGTCGGTTGGGATTGTCGTCGCGACCACGGCCACTTTCGGCCGATATTGTTCTCTGCTTGGGCCTGCCGCAAGTGAGAGGTTATTGGCCTCCGTGTTCGTGACGATGATCTGCGCGGCCTTGTCGAAGAGCTCCGCTGTTGTAGTGAGCGTGTCTACGACTTGAGTTAGCGTCGTGGACAATGCCAGACACAATCTCGAGATGAAGTAGTGTTTCAGGGCTTGAAAGCCCATTGGTACGCATGGCACGAATATCAAGCGTTGGAACTCGGCGATCCAATCGCTACTTGGCAGCGTGTTTTGGTGGAACTTAATCAGCTTGTCCATTGCTTTCATTTCTGGCGGCTCGATCTGGAACCTCTTATGCCATGCGGCCTTCATATCTTCCCAGCTGATCTTGGTATGCAAGTCGGTCACCATCACGTATTTAGACAAGAGTTTGTCCATTCATGCTTGGCACGCACCCCCCGATCGGTAGTACAAATATGCGTGGTGCTTCGCTTCGGAACGTGGTGGAGCTGCAACTTGAGCTCGAATTGGCGGAACCACGGAATCGGTCTGTCTTTGTCGCAGAAGATCTCCTGACCATCGAACTTCGGAGTCGACTCACGTTGTGACGTGCTCGGTGTGGCGGCGGCAGCACAGATCCGCTGCTCCAGTCGTTGCGTGGCAATTTGCTGTAGCTGCGCGTCGTCCTTGAGGGTTCCGACGTCGATCTCCAATGAATGGAGGCGATCGGAGGTGTTGGAGGAGCTGGCATCGGGGGGCGATGACGGATTGTTGCTGCAGCTGCTGGAGGCGGTTGTTGACTTGATCAAATGTCCGATTGTGCGTCTGAATCACGTCGTCGAGGCTGTGGATCTCCTCCTGCTGTGCAATGCACGTTGCCAGGAGTTTCGTGAAATGGGAGAGGAGTAGAACGATCTTGTTTTCACTCTCTTCCATCTTACCATTCTCGGCCTCGGCTCACCAATCTGCTGCCATTGTGAGCAAAGGTCGCTCTCCATTGAATATCTTCTCGCGTCGTTGATTTCGTTCTTCATCAGCAGCCTTTGTTGCTGCCTCGTCGTGCTGGTGGTGTTGTTCTATTGCCAACAGACGTGCCTTCTCGGCATCCTTTGTCGCCTTGTCTGCCGTTGCTACATCATCCGCCCGTTTCTTGGCTTCGGTAATCAAAGCCAGCATCCGGGCCTGATAGGCCTCGGCCGTTTCCCCGGACTTCTGATCCATGCCGGCTGTTTGTAAGCACGTGAGCATTGATGAGGTCGGAGGACTGTTGACGTGGCACTCCCTTCTGCTGACATGGCACTGTTCGGCTGCTGTGTCCTGGTGACGAGGTCCGCTGACGTGCTTTGTTGACGTGGTCTGCTGACGTGACCTGCTGACGTGGTCTACTGACATGGCCAGCTGACGTGGTCTGCTGACATGGCCTGCGGACGTGGCAACTCACCAATGCCGCCGCAGGGGGTACCCGGAGACAGATAGAGAAGATAAGACCAGAGGGGGCAACAACATAGGTGGGGAGGGGTGGGTGGGATAAATCGCCCAGATAAAGAGCCACTAATCAAAAAACAAAAGTTTGAACTTTTGCAAAAAAAAAACAAACTCGTTTGCAAGTGCAGTAGGTCTCCCAATTCCCCTTGAAGTGCGAAATTACCAATGAGAAAATTTTTTCGAACTTCCAGAATCCAGACCGCAAATGATTGTCAGATGAACTGCGAATAAAAAGAATTCCGAAAAAAAAAATAAAAAAAATTGGAATTAGTCAGATGAGAGTACGTGCAGTTTGAAAAATGGTAACTGCCAGAGGGATTTCCCGTACCGTTTTCAAAAAAAAAAAAATTAAAAATTCAAAAACATTTCGGATTTCCAAATAACGGGAAATTGCAACAGGAAATCAAAATTTTTGAAAAAACGATATTCCGGATTTTCAACAACGGAATTTCGAATTTTCAGAAGAAAAAACGAAAACGGAAATTTCGGGTGTTGCGCTATTGCGATTTTCCACAACAGAAATAGCGGGAAAACAAAATCCAAGAAAAGAAAAAAAAAATCGATTTTGGCAGTTAGGTCCAGATGTTAGATCAGGTTGTCCTGATTCACATTCGGTGCCCCGATACCAACTGTTACATGCCCAGTTGGGCAATGTATGTAGAGCCAAGGATCCGCAAAGTGATAAAAAGGACTAAATGAACAATGCAATGTTTAATGAAATCTCAACAAGCAGTGTACATCCTGATACATGCAAAATGGTACTTTGTAGCGCAGTGGAAGACTTGGATATGAGTCCTGACTTGACTGGGACTGACATGACATCCCATTATACTTCACACATGTGAGAAGAGGAAGAGGTACCAAACTGTTGAATACCGTAATAGTGCCCACTAGAGCAAGGACCAATGCAATCAGACTCACTTTCATTCACACTTCACATGCATACAAACAGGTTCCGCAGCAAACTGGCGACAAGCGCCCACTTCAATCTCAGAGATATGGAAATCCGGAACACAGTTCAGATACAATTTAACTTCAGATGGCTCTGGCGCATCAGCGCCTGTGCAACTCTCTATTCGTCACTTGCTCAACACTGCTGGTCGCACACAGGATCACCCTGGATATGCCACATGCATCACACTTTGTACACTCACACACACCGGCACACTTCTACAGCTATGGCGGTTATGGCCGCTGCTACTCTATCGCTATGGCTAAGCTTCCTTCTTGCCCACTTCGTCTTCGGGCTCACTGCAGACCACCTCGCACAAGTCGTTGTGGCAGCGCTTCCACATGGCTTGTGCATGAATGAATGAATGGTTGGGCGCTGCCTCTTGATTTATAGTTTTGTAACTCGTTGGTCTGCCCCTCTCCACCATGCCCATGGTGGACGCAGTCCCTCATGGTACTTGCTTGACTGGACTGGGACTGCGGGACCGGTACCGCTGACTGCTTGGGTTTGCACTGCCAACTCAATGCGGCCGCATTGCCGATGTAACGCGGCTGGGCTCACCACTTGCCCACTTGCCTCTGACTAAAACGTGAGGCAGCTTCAAAAGGCCAGTTCCGGACCTTCCGGACGTTTGTGGACTTGGCCTTTCGAGTACTGTAGCAGCTACGACCTTGACCTTTCAGGACTGTAGTTGCTACGACCTTGACCTTTCAGGATTCCTACAGCTACGACCTCTACAGGGCTATGACTCCTACTTGACAGATCTACAGATCGAACCCCTACCATTACACAGACCTATGACAGACAACAACAACTTTCAAAACACAGGTCTTCTAGAATCAGCTCCCGACATAGTGAGAGCCTACGAGAGAGAAAGGAAGGGAAAAGGTCCTGCCTTAGACTGAGCTATTCTCGGAGGACCTCGAATTTAGGCCGGCGGGAGTGAAATGGTATTCACCTGTTAGCAGTAGCGAATCCAGGTCCCAGGGCTCGATCCCTAGTCCTCACTTTACCTGTGTATAGTATCAGTGTCGACCCCGAGTGAATACGTCTTCACCTACAATGCCGTCAATGTCGTACCTTCCGTCCATGTCTGGGGGGATCATGGATCTTCTGGATGGAAACTGTTGACTTGTGACACAGGGCAACAACTTTGACGCATGAAACACGGGGTAGGTGTGGAGGTGCGCTGGGATCTCTACTGTGTAGAACGACCCATCCTCTCCGCCCTTAACTTCTATAACTAGTCACGGTCCTCTATACGCGGGCAATAGCTTCTGCGAGATGTTCTCCTCAGGCGCAAACTCTTTAGACTTCACCCAGACTAAGTTGCCTACTCGAAACTGCGACGGGCGATGATGCTTATTGGCTTGCTCTATCATTCTATGCTGGGCCTTCCTAAGGTTCTCTAACGGTAGCTAACTCCTTTTCGTGTTGTAACGCAAACTCCCTAGTATCGGGCAATAGCCTGTGAATCTGATCCCGGATAAGTCCCTCAAACGGTTTGCATGGTCTAAAGGACTTGTGCAACTCGTTGGGAGTGCGACAGGTAGACAAGTGCACGCTATTATTGTACGCACTAGCTACTTTGGGCAACATCTCATCCCAACTGATCTGATTCGGTCTAATGCACGTACGCAGAACTTGTTGCAGGATCTTGTTCATCTGCTCAGTCTGACCGTTAGTCTCTGGATTACGACCAGATGACATCAACAACTTGGAGCCATAGACTCTCATCAACTCCTGCCAGTTCTGACTAGTGAACCGGGTGTCTCTATCACTAACTATAGACAGTGGAATCTCGTGTTCACTGACCCAATGACCAAAAAACTTATGAAGAACTAACTCTGTACGTGCCTCGGAGGGCAAACGAACAAAAACAACATATTTACTGAATCTATCAACTATTACCATGACTCGGCTCTTGTCGTGCCTACTCTTGACATGGGTGTCCATAAAGTCAATGGACACTGAATCTCCTGGCTGACCAGGAACAGGCAAGGGTCTGAGAAGACCTAGAGGGGCACGCGTAGAGGTCTTATTTCTCTGGCAGACCTTACAACTACGAACATACTTTATGCACTCGGCCTTCATGCCATACCATATGTACGCGCGCATGAGGTCAGCTAGAGTTTTTTGGCAACCAAAATGTCCCTCGGTATCGTGGCATTCCCCTAGGATCAAACTATGGATCTCCTCGCTATTAGGGACACACAATCCATCAACTACGTTAGTCTGCTCAAATAGCAGCCCATCAGTAGTGCGGTAGTCTGGTTCGGACTCTGGGGCCCCTTTTACTCTCTTGAGGAGGTCGCCATAGATAGGGTCCTTTGCATACGCCTCTCTAACTTTCTGCTGCAGGTATCTCCCTATATCCAGATAATGAACTATTGCTCCAAAGTAGTCAGCTCTCCTACTCAGAGCGTCCGCAACTACATTATACTTCCCTTTGACTGGCTTAAACTCAAAGTCATATTGGTCTAACTCTGCAACCCACCTGGTAAGCTTAGGTGTCATCTTGGCCTGCGTCTTCAGCCACGTTAATGTCTCGTGGTCTGAGTAGACTTCGAAGTGCCTCCCAAGCAAGTAGTGCTTCCAGTGTTCTAATGCTTGTCTGAGAGCGTAGAGTTCTCTCTCGTAGATAGATGTCGCTACCTTCTCTGAAGGCATCCTAGCAGACATGAACTGTACGGGTCTATATCTGTTGCCATCGTCTTGCTGTAATACAACACCTATACCATATTGGCTCGCGTCAGTCGTGATGACAAACGGTAAGGACGGATCGGCTACCTTAAGGACTGATTACTCTATCAACGCCTGCTTCAACTTCTTCATAGCGGAGGTGCAGTCCTTGTCCCATCTCTAGATTGTTTTTTTCTTCAACAACCTGCCAAGGGGTGCAGCGATGGTGGAGAAGTTTGTCACAAACTTCATGTAATAGTTAGCTAGGCCTAAGAACGACCGCAACTCTGTCAACGTGCGGGGTGTAGGCCAATCTCTAATCGTTGCGATCTTACTATCTTCTGGTTTGATGCGATCTTACTATCTTCTGGTTTGATGCGATCTTACTATCTTCTGGTTTGATGCCGCCTCCATCTAAAACATGGCCTAAATACAATACTTGGGTCTTTGCCCATTCACACTTCTTTGCATTGATCTTGAAGTTGGCCTCTCTCAACTTTTCCAAGACCTGCCTTAGATGACCCTCATGCTCCTGGAGGGTCCTACTAAACACTAAAATATCATCTAAGTAGACTACTATAAAGTTAGTACAAACCTGTCTAACCACGGCCTAATCAAGTCATTCATACAACACTGAAAAGTTGTTGGCGCGTTGGTTAGTCCAAAGGGGATAACTATAAACTCGTAGTGTCCATATCTAGTCCGGAACGCGGTCTTATACTGATCATCATGATGGACCTCTATCTGATGATATCCGGACTTCAAGTATATCTTTGAAAAATACTTGCAGCCCTGCACCCGATCTAAAAGATCATCTATACGGGGCAACAGCTCCGCGTCCTTCACAGTGATAGCATTAAGACCCCTATAGCTAGTGCACATTCTAAGCTCTCCCTCCTTCTTCGGGACAAATAAAACAAGTGCTCCAAATGGAGACGAACTGGGCATAATCCAACCCTTCTCTAAGAGTTCATCTAACTGCTTGAGTAGCTCCTCCAATTCCCGAGATGACATCCTATACACTGTTCCTTTAGGAGTCCTGCTGCCAGGTTCGATCTGATG